GCCAGAACCTGAAATCAACCTAGATGCCCCTCAACCAAAGAATGGATAAAGAAAATATGGTACACTTACACAATGGAGTATTACTCAGTCATAAAACATAATGACACCTTGAAATTCTCAGGCAAATGGATGGAAATAGAAAAAAACACCCTGACACATATGCACTCACTCATAAGTAGATATTAGAAATAAAACAAATGATAACCAGCCTACATACAATCCACAACCCCAGAGAAGCTAGGAAATAAGGAGGCCCCTAAGAGAGACATATATGGTCCCTCCCAGAAGATGAAATGAACAAGATTTCCTTAGTAAATTGGGAGCATGGGGGGAGAGGGAGGGGAGGGAAGTAGGAGAGAGAGGAGAAGAAGAAGGGGAGGGGGGAGATAAGCATGAGGGATCAGTAAGGTTGAGTTAGTGGAAGGACAGAGAAGGAGAGCAAGGAAGGAGACACCTTAATAGTGGGAGCCATCATGGGAAATGAGAAACCTGGCACTAGCGAAATGTCCAGGAATCCACAAGGATGACCCCCAACTAAGCAGTAGTGGAGAGGGTGCCCTAAATGCCCTTCCCCTATATGAGACTGATGACTACCTTATATGCCATCACAGAGCTTTCAGCTTTCTGATGGAAGCAGAAGCAGAAGCAGAAAATCACAGATAAGCCCTATGCCAAACTTCTGGAGTTCAGTTGTAGAGAGGGAGAGTGATGATCAAAGGGGTCAAGACCAGGCTGGGGAAACCCACAGAAACAGCTGACCTGAACAAGGGGGAGCTCTCTGACTTCAGTCTGACAGATGAGGAACCTGCATAAGGCCAAACCAGGCCCCCTGAACATGGTGTCAGTTGGGGGGCCTGGGAAGTCTGGGGCTGCTTGCAGTGGAACCAGTGTTTATCTCTAGTGCATGAACTGGCTTTTTAGAGTCTATTCCCTATGGAGGGATACCTTTCTCAGCCTAGATACCCTATTTGGGTAGGACCTTGGTCCCGCTCCAAATAATGTGACAGATTTTGATGATTCCACATGGGAGGCCTCACCCTCCCTGATGAGTGGATGGGAGGAGGAATGGGAGGACGGGAAGGAGAAAGAACAGGGACTGGTATGTAAAATAAGATTTAAAAAAAATTACAAAAAATACAAATTCCACAAACAGAAAAAAATACAATTCTAGTCTAATCCTCTTATTAAACAAAAACAAAAAAAGCAAGAAGTTTCTAAGCAAAGGAGTAGCCTTTTCCCAGTACCTGCGAGATGGCCTAGGTATATAGGGATATGACCTGGACAAAAACAAACAAACAACAACAACACTAATGGTTAGAGCCACATCGAAGCCCATGCTTATGATTCTGGCTCTCCAAGGTCCTGTCTCCAAGACTGAATAGTGGGTTTCTGGGGAAATTAAAAAGCAGGGGCCAGATTGAGAGCTGAGTAAGCCCAGGCCCCCATCTCTAAAGAAACACTCCTATGTGGGTCAGCTAATTGCAGCTGACAGGGATAGAGGGATAATATTCATAGCTAAAGGGCACCTGACTGTGGTAGGCCCAGGACACATAGGAATAGAAAGTAGAGCCAATTACAATGCCATGCGCTTGGGTGGGGGCGGTGTCAGAGCTTGGTTAAGTTGCATTCTCTGACCTTCTGCCATTAGAAGAAGCTAAAGTAATCCAACAGATGGAATTGGGGTCTGGTCCAGGTATATTGAGCCAATCCATTGACTAGCCCACATACAGCAGAGTAGCTAGTGCACAAACCCACAAGTGTTGCAAATATTATTGCTCTTAATAGTGATAACAGACACATCATAGATGATCAACACAATTAGTCCTCAATAATTTTCATTATAAACAATGTTTACAGGAAATAAGTTAAAAAGCCAAGTTAACGTTGGTAACAGTATGGTAGAATGGGGAGTTTTACTGCCTGTATCCAACCTCAATGGGACAACTGCCTATGGCCAACTGTAGCTCTGCAGAGTCTGGACAACTAGCAGAGATGCTCCAGCATATCATCACAACAACAAAACTGGACACCAGATAGATGACAGTGAGTAAGAAGGGCTTTTTCACTGGACCCACACTATCGCTAAGGTGGTATATCAGCAGAGAAGCTCTTGGCCTGAAGTTTCTCCTGTAGTGAATGGTGTTCAGCTCCCTCAGCCCTGCACCATGGTGCCCAAGAGACTTAGTCCTTCTCACCTCACACAGAATACTGAGGTGCTCAGTACAATTGAGTCTGGGAGCAAGGAAGGGAGGCTGCAGATCTTAATTACTTCCCAGACTCCCTCAGAAAAAGCCTCCCAGTAAGGAGGTTGGGACATCTCACTTGTGTTTTCCCACTCAGAATGACCCATAGGTACCCTGAGTGCTCGGCACACTTCACCTTCCAGTCAGTGATGGTTAGTCTTGATTGTCAACTGGAGGGGAGATGGAATCAGCCACAAGACAGGCTTCTGGGTGGCTCTATAAGGGCATTTTCAGGAAAGAGTCACTGAGGGGAGAAGACCCACCCCCAAAGAGGGCAGAGCCTCTGGAAGGCATCCTACAAAGAAAGAGGTCTGTCTTAGGAATAATTAATGCTGCTTGCATGCTTGCCTTTACTTCTCATTGGTGAGTATATCTTATTCTGTGATGACATTAGACTTCCAATGTGGACTGAAGATCAGTGGTTCTCCAAGACTTCTCCAGGCCTTTAGTACCGGGTGGGGACTACTACATACTTAGCTTTATGGAACGAGCAAGCAACTATTGCATTACCAGTCTCTCCAGTGTCTAGACAGCTGTTATTGAACTATGCAGCCCTATCAGTTCTAAGACATTCTAGAAAATTTCATTGTATAATATAAGGACATTCAGCTGGCTCTGTTCTTTGCCGATGGTACCTTCCCAGGCCATTGCCTCAAATGTACCCTGTGATAGTGAGTGTATCTCAATGTGGCAGAAGTGTGAAAAAGGTCACAAAATTGAGCACTTCAAAACCATCATCCCAAGAGAACCAAATGTGAGGCTGTCTGTACTTTGTTTGGCTTTGTAGGATCAAGGAACACACAAACATAATTCCCTTCCAAGTAGACACATGCAGTGTGGACTGGGAACATCCATTAAAAAGGTCCGAGAATGTCTCAGAATACTTAGCTGGAATGATTGGTGTGCTTCTCTTTTGAAGATAGTAAATAGTGAAAAGATGTAACTATTTTTTTTCTTCAAATGCACAGAGAGTAACACAACTTCCCAGGAACATGAAGAATCATTGACAAAAATGGCACTAGCCAAGTAACATAATAACATGATCAGTAGCATCTAGCACAAATAATAAAAACCCAGAGACAGATATTGGAGTTAAAGCTGAAGAAGCAAAGCAGCTAAGCCAAGCCACCAGAGAGTTCTCACCTCTACGAGTGCTCAGACCCAAGAGGCAATCCACCGAACCTCAGTGAATCCCAACTGCACTGTCCTCAGACTGCAATGAGCTCCTGTCTCCTGCCACCTTATAGTCCTCTCTAGTACTGGGATTAAAGTCGTGGGATCCCAAGTGGTGAGATTAAAGTCGTGGGATCCCAAGTTTGTGTGAACTCTGTTTCTATTTTAGACTGGATCAATTTTGTGTAGCTCAGTTTGGCCTTGAATGAACAGAGATCCATCTGTCTCTGTCTCCGGAGGGCTGGGATTAAAGGAGTGTACCACCACAGCCTGACCTCTATGGCTGTGGCTAGCTTTGCACTCAGATCTTCAGGTAAGATTTATTTGTTAAATCATAAACAAAATATCACCATAGTAGCAGACTCAAAGAAATGGAGATCTGGTGGTTAGCTGACAATGAACTCTAAACACTTGCTTCCAGGCAGCTCAGCAAGCTACAGGAGAACACAGGCGGATGGTATATGCTCACGTCACAGATCAGGAAGTGGAAGTGGACAGGAGCCAGAGCCAGGGCTCTGGGCCACCCTCAGGGCCAATCCCTAGAATCCCATTTTATTCATCAACTCTTCCAAACTGTGGGCCTTCAACTATAAATTTACAAAAGTATCAAGAGGGACATAGGCGTATAGGGCAACAACATCAGGTAAACAATGATGAACAAAAATAAAGGTTCAAGAATGGGTTAAACAAATTCTGAAGCTGAAGAATATAAAGAATTGTCTTAGGGTTTCTATTGCTGTGATACAACGCCATAACCAAAGCAAGTTGGCAAGGATGGGTTTTAGTTGGCTTATGCTTCCAAATCACTGTTCATCACTGAAGGAAATCAGGACAGGAATTCAAGCAGGACAGGAACCTGGAGGCAGGAGCTGATGCAGAGCCCATGGAGGGGGTACTTCTTACTGGCTGGCTCATCATGGCTTGCTCAGTCTGCTTCCTTATAGAAGCCAGGATTATCAGCCCAGGGCTGGGCCCTCCCTATCAATCACTAATTAAGAAAATATCCTACACCTGGATCTTACAGAGACATTTTCTCCATTGAGGTTACCTCCTTTCAGATGACTCTAGCTTGTGTCAAGTCAATATACAGCTAGCCAAGACAGTCATAAAATGAAAAAGTATAATAATTTAATTTCAATGTGTATTTGGTGAAGCTGAAGAAAGCAAGCAAAGATGGGTCATGTGACAGTATCCAGTCAGAAGAGAAAAAAAGGAAAAGACTGAAAACAATTGAAGGAAGCCTCCAAGAAGGATGGTATGGAATCAACGGTTAGCATCCATTGTGGAGGTTTCAGAGGGAGGAGAGAGGAAGGGGTGCAGAGAACTTACTTAGAGAAATAATGGTTGAAACTCTCTTAAATCTAGGGAGAGCTGTGAGCATACAGACCCAAATGGGTTTAAGCCAAGGAAAACATTGCAGACATGACAGCTAACAAAATTTAAAAGGTAGACTATTAACAGTATCAAGAGGAGAAAGCCTTGCCACATATAAAGGACTCTCCATAAGGCTATCAGCAGGCTAGTCAGCTGAAACTATACAACCCAGTGACATATTCAGGGTGCTGAAGGAACAAAACCTCCTACCTGATAAAGGTGTCCTCCAGAAACAAAAGAGATGTAGAAAAACATTGCAGACTCCAGAGTGTCTCTTTGGAGTGAACTGCGTGGCTTCAGGAAGATTGCACCAGACACTCATGTGTGCAGTTAGCAGAACGCATTAAATCAGCCGAGCACTGAAATCCAACACTAAAGGTCTGTTGTGCTTTAGAGGGCTCCAAAGTCCGGACTCTGTAGAAATCAATTTTACCCGTGTCTAATGTGTTCCATCACCAGGATGGGAAAATAAATCCAGGCAGTTCTATATCAGAACCAGGAGAACCTGGGCAGCTTTCATCTCTCCGTTTTAAGCCATACATTGCCATAAAATGAGGGAAACATCCAGAAACAATCTTGCCAGAGGTTGGAATTATCTGCAAGGAAAAAGAGGTGACATTTTATTTGACAGGCCAAAGGCATTTTCTGTTGTCTTGGTTCTTAGAACCACTGTGTCACACCAGAGTGGTCCTTGGTTTTCTTCATGTCAGGAGTAGCCCATGGGAGACCAACCACTAGAAAGGAATTTGATGTTCTGTTCCTGGGCCTTAGCAGTGGCTTCCCATGAGAGGTCTCCTAGGGCTCTTGTTTAAACCCTGGTCCCCAGATGGCCATGCAGCTTTGGGAGGCTGTGGTAATTTTAGGCTTAGGCTTCTTAAACATTTTCCACTTGCAGCCTCTTCTTATCCAAGAAATTTGTATACAATCCCAGGTATATAGGTATGTAAAATTTGTATACAAATCAAACATTTACTGGTAATTCTTACAGCAAAAGAAGCTCCATTGTATGCTAAGCATCCATCTTGTCACCCACCAGCCATTTCTCTCTGACTTTAGTCCCTAGAAGATAAGTTCCCAGTGTTAATCCCACCGATCGAGAATAAGACACTATCACAGTTAAAAGTCACATTTGAAGCAAGTGTTAATTAAATAATGGCCAGGTGGATGGGCTCTGGCCAGGTCCATATCTAGGTTCCTAGGAAATGACCCAGAATCAAGCCCAGCAAGGGCTTACGAAGGAAAACCCATAATTCATTCCATTTCTCATCAGGTCCAATCCAGGCCAAGCATGCCTCCTGACACATTTCCTGCCTGTGAACCTCCCCCATGTGATTAAGCACATCTGGTGGCAGATGGGTCAAACAAACTTGTTTGGGGAAATGAAAACACATGGCTTGTTATCTCCAGTAACAATAGCCTCCAGCATTTCAGGAACTATCTGTCCTTGGGCAAGGGACTTGCAGATCAGGGGCATTTTTGTTTCATGGATCTCTTAAGTATAGTAATTAAAACTTAAAATGTAAGTTTTGGCTCTCACACCAGTAACTCTGTGAGCCCCACCCAAAAATGTATAGCTGTGACTATCTACTCATTATGATATGACTAACTTCTTTTTTTTTTCTTCTAAACTTGCTTACACAGACATCCAAAGATTGTTTTGAGTTGCCTTAATCACTTGACGAAACAGAACAGTTTTTACTTGCTTGCATAGATATAGAAAGTCTTCCTGTGGTTTTCCCCTTTAAAAGTCCTTTCCCCAGACCCTTCCTTCACAGCAATCTCAGATTTGCCTCAGAGATTGTCCTGCTAGCAACTAGCCAATAAATCTCTTAATTATAATTGTATGGTTTTTTCCCAGGGGACAAACTTCATAACAGTAATAAATTATAGAAAAATAGGAAAAGTCTATTTTCCATAATTAAACTACTATGTTTCTGTAAGAGCAGGCAACATGGTACATTTAGCAAAAATACTGTGGTTTATTTATTTATTTATTTATTTATTTATTTATTTTAAGAATGTAACTGTTTTTTTTATCTTTTTCTTTTTTTCTGCAGATTTTTTATTTGAATTAGAAACAAGATTGTTTTACATGACAATCCCAGTTCCCTCTCCCTCCCCTCCTCCCCTACAACCACCACCACCACCCTACCCCACCACCACCACCACCCCGCCCAGAACCCTACCTATCACATAACCTTTCTGCTCCCCCTGGATGTTGAGACTTTCCATAGGGTGTCATCAGAGTCTATCATGTCCTTTGGGATAGGGCCTATGCCCACCCCCATGTGTCTTGGCTCAGGGAGTATTCCTCTATGTAGAATGGGCTCACAAAGTCCACACCTATGCTAGGGATAAGTACTGAACTACTACAGGAGGTCCTGTAGATTTCCGAGGTTTCCTCACTGAAACCCAT